GCTGTGTTGCAATTAAACAGAAGTATGGATCTAGGAAATTCATGACTAGCCATTGGTCTTCCTATCAGCAGTAGAGAGATGCCTAGTCAGCAGATATATGTGTCTGAAACCTTTGCATGGTGTACATGCTATACTATGTAATAAATAAAAGGTAGTTTAATTTTTTATTATGCCGCTAAGATACCCAATCAGACTGATTATACATACACCCAAAACAATATATTATAGTCTGAACTATGAAACTAAACTCAAGAGGAAAGGTTATACATCAATCCTTTCTGCAGATTTCTTATCAGCTCATTCTGTCCTGTATGATTATTTTATGCCAAGCAAATTGCTAGATATATTCATACTCTCCGTTTAACCATAACATCAAGAACACCCAAAAATTAGCAATCCTAACAGGTCTGCTGCTTGCGGGCAGAAAGTAACTATCAAGGAAGAAGAGTTAGATGCTAGCGACATACCTGTCGAAGATATTGGCGGTAAGCATGTGTCGTACAGGTTATTTATGCTTTCCCCTAAGCCATTCTTAGCCAACCCCGTGCAGTCCATGCGCTATGCATAAGAACCACAGATCGCTCAAGCAGCGTCGAAGCCTGCTTGTGACTGTTCCAAATGCATGCTTATCAATCCAGGTCCGACTTCTGTTCCACCAATCTACTTCAAAATGTTAGACATCCAACAGTTACAGATGTTCACGCTGCTTACTTCCTACCTTACTGCTTCATTGTTTTATTACAAAAGCCAGCTCTGAGGCAAAAACTTGAACACAGAGCTTCACACAGCAATGTTTGCCTCAGCAACAACGCCGCAGGTAAATACATAGCCGGAAAAGAAAAGTTGTTTGCAATTGTTCATATACCTTAGTTTCCTATTCCTGACTCTCTTTGTTCAGAACCGGACCATCGATGGAAAAGGGTCCATTTAGCTGATGGGGAATACATTGTCCATGGGAAAAACCTGGCTTCCTTTATGTAACTTGTGTCGCTTTGGAAACATAATAAACACTATGAATTTCGTGGTGAGAACTACATAGATGAAAGATGAGCTGAGTGACCATTGTATATGGGGAAACAGTGTGACCCTATACACACGCCATGTATAAGATCAATGTAAATGAGCTGCATGACCTGCCTTCGTACCTTTCTTTGTACATCGTTAGTCCTTTTGGGCTATCATGCTACCATGACTCAAGTGTAAACCATTATGTATAAAGATACTATCTAAGTATCCATTTACATGGTGTTTAAGTCCACTACAGATCCAACGTAGGTTTGATATTATCTTGCCTGGCCTCATGCAAATCTTTCTTGCATAACAGGATATACCTATTCAGTGATTTCGCTCCTCTTTATTGAACTTTTATTGTTTCTTGCTCAACTATATAGGTTATGATAAATATCGTCGCGTGGCTTATGGAAGGAGCTGCTGACAGGACTATCTTAACAACAAACTTGACGGAGTTCTTCACATAGCAAACATAGATGAAGGAACGATGTATGCCTTCACCTTTAGGCGCAACGCAAAGCGCCTCCGCCTCTAACCATTCACTCCATATGAGGACACCATCATAAACCTTCAGTGTCACCTATATACAGCTTGTGTACAGGACTTCATGTTTATAATGCTCCTATGCTATCTCCACATTGGTTTGTCTTTCCTTATGGATTACCTCTTAGTATAGATATTATAGATTGTCTATTTGAACTACTATAAGTATCAGCGAAGATAGATAAGCCTATATTTCTCTCTTCCTTAAGGTGCCCTGCAATAGTCACATAATGCACGGTTCTAACTGGCTTTTTGCGCCATGGGCGCAACGGGTCATCTAGTACGGCTAAATCATCCTCAAAATCATAAAAGCAAAATCAGTGCTAAAATGCTAGTTGTAGCCTTACTACATGGAGCGAAAAAAGCAGGCTGTCAATGGAACACAAATGGTGGGTTGGTGGCGTTTATGATGGGGTTGTTGGCGATGTTAAGGCTGACCCCAAAATTAGCCTTATCCGGGCCCAAAAAATGCCATCCATCATTCCTAAATTTGACACGACGTTCCTAAGTTCAGGCAGGTCCCTGGTACTCGTCGTATTGAGACATGCGTGCGGTCGTCCCGTCCCTGGTGGCAGCCGGCCCTTGGACGCAGGAAAAGTCCACGAAGCAGCTGCGGCAGCTTTGTTTGCCCCGTCAGTCAGGTGCGTCGCACCTAGCCGCCGGATTACACACAGGCGACGCCACGCACACGCAGACGCAGGGTGGCGGCTATTGCCTACCGCAGCCACGCTACTTTTACGTGCAGACTCGAGTCCCTCTCATCCATCGGGGGCAAATTTAACAATTTTAACTTGTGGATAAAATCATTTCATAAAATGAACTAATGAACTGTTCTTAATTCTTTTACTCAGTTGACCTTTTTGAGTTACGCTCGACATGAAGGCATCACACTACACTGTGCAACGCCTGACTGACATGTGCTACACATCTGCCCAGCGTCGCACTCCAGACTGCCTAAAAATTACTAAGTCAATATGCATCGCCTAGCCTTTAGACATTGCATTAGTGGTTGCATTATTTACCACTACAAAATGAAGCAACCAGTAATGCAACGCCTAGACGCTAGGCGCCACATTGTATAGCTCTCAGACGCTGCACACTGACTCAGTAATTTTCGAATCACCCAGGTGCGAGCTGGCTAGGCGTGCAGCGTCTGTTAGTCAGGCGCTGCACAGTGTAGCGTGACGCCTTCGTATCAGACGTCGATCAAAAAGATCAGCCGAGTGAATTTTTTTAAAAGCAGCTCATTTTGTAAAATGATTTCATTCACATGTTAAAATTGTCAAATTTGCTTGCATCGGGATCCCTCACGGGCACACCTACCGGCGAGAATAATCGGATCGGGGCGTTTCTGAATTCTGATGCGTTCGCGGTTCCTTCCCGTACCACTACTCTGCACAACAAATATTGATATTGGTGTTCAGAAATCAGCATCAACCAACCCATGACATTCGGGGTTCATCACAGCTGAGAAAACAATTTTTGCCACTGGCCTCCGTCTGGACCGTCCATTTTCGCTCCGCCCGACGGGCCGCAAACACGCGCTGATCTGTCAGAGTTAAAGTACTAAGTACGCGTCCGGTCATGATGTTTTAGGGCGCGAGCCTGAAGCTTTGACCCCATCCCAAGGGCCAGTTGCCCCTTTGGCGACCGACCGACCGACCACGCCACACGGCGACGATGCTAGCCGTAAAAAAAGAGTCCACACCTCTCCCTCTGACTTGTGATTGCTTCTGTTGGTCAAAATCCCAAAGCAGAGGGGCACGGTGACTTGATCTGATGAAGCAACTCGCTCACGGATCAGGTTATCACCCACCCCTACCGACAGCCCAAACGAGCATACTGATGATGTGCACGGTGTTCTGGCTGAAAAGTGGCCGGAGGAGAACAAACGAGCATGTGCAGGTCTGGAATTTTTTTTATGCGCAACTATACATTTTGAACACAATTTATACGCGACCGGCCGGCCTGAGGTCGCTATCGAGGCCGGCGTTGCAGTCGGGCACCTTCTGGGCCGGCCTTTGGGAACAGCAGCCTGCGGGCGGGTTGAGCATTCTTTCGGAGAAGCAGTCAGTGTAGGAGAAAGCAGCCGGCGTTTTTAGTCCCACCTCGCCTGGCTGAGCGGGAGGGGGCAGAGCGCTCGCCTGTATAGGAGGGCGGGGTGCGAGTGGGGAGAGGCACGCAGCTGCGTGGTGAGCACAAAGCGAACTATTCTTTCGCCTTTTACTAAAGAATACCGTGTGCACGCCACACTGAGCAGCATACCCTAATTTTTAGAGGGTGTTTTCTCCTTGTGAGAATGAGAAAGCCCCCCCAATTCAATGTTTCAAATGTTATTACAGATCTGATGTTTGGTGTGAGCCCTTGATAAATTAGGGCAAATCTAAGGTGTTGCTCCTGCGTATGGAATTATTTGTAGTTTCTAGTTTTTCAGACCTTACGCCCGTGCAGTGGAATTTCTGCTTGGATTGGCTTGAAGGTGTGTTTGTACTCCTTCCGTTCTGAATTATGCGACAATGGATGTATCTAGATGTAATTTTAGTTCTAGATATTATGGATGTATCTAGATGTATTTTAGTTCTAGATATATACATTTCTACAACGAGTAATTTGGAACAGAGGGAGTAGTTTGCAAAGGTTTTGGCCCCATAGTTCAGGTAGGTATGCATGCAAACCCGTACAACAACAAAGCCTTTCACTTCACTGCAGTATCTTGTTGTCGCTTCAGACTCAATTCAGATTCTTGTTTATCGAAGAATCATTCAAACAAAACGATATCTGAATCTGGTTTATGCCTTTCAGCTCTCCGATTGTTTGTCTCAGGCTTTGTACGCTCACATGTTGCACCCGACATCTCCCCGATATCTTGTATCAGGATCTGTTCTTGAGTAACAGCTTAAGTTAACAGTCTGTTGGAGAATGTGATGCTTTGTGT